AAGGAAAGAAACTCAACACGTCCCTTAAGTGATTCAGGTTAATAGGACACTCCTCGACAGTCTCAACACGACTGCTTCGGAGTACGGGTAATGAAGAGCTCAACACGCTCTTCGGGTGACGGCGGTATGGAACGGAACAACTGGTGAACTCAACACGTCCACAAGCCGGGGTAGGGAAGAAGAGAACCTTCAGTCAACACCTGTCGATTCTGCCTCTATGAGGAAATGTTGCGGTTTATATAGCGGAGCTTGGTAATTAGTTTTGCCCTTTCTACTGTCGATACACTACATGGGTTGGTTCGCGCGCACGCTGGTTTAACGGTGATGGCTTGGACTCATCGTTACAGTGTAAATCTATATAGTTACAAATAGAATTTAATAAATCTAGCACCTGTTCATGAAACTGATAAGGTGTTTCGTTTGGTGTTTGTTTAAGATTAACTAGGTCTTGATTTAGTCAATTTTCGTCTCTTTGATCAGCAAAATTTTAAATTAATGTATTTTTTATACCATCCCAATCAGTATTACCGCTAATCGCAATTATCTCTTCAGCTCTTCCTTCTAATTTATTTAATATACCGTTTAATAATAAACAATTTTGAAAGCTATTAGGATTAGTTGTCAAAATAATGCTGTAAGATTGATTCGGTAGCATTGATAAATCTACAAAGTTTATTAATATTGCCATCAAAACGAGGAATAATGGCTAAATTTGCTATATCTAACTTAGGTACAATAATAGTAGCATTTAAAGTAATTGGTGAAGTCATTTTTATTTATTACTTTTCTTTCTTAATTATACTCTTATCAGTAAAAAATAATAAGTAACTAATACGTACTCTTGACTATTATTTTCACAAAAGGATTTAATAGGCAAAGACGAGTCTGAATATGAATAAAAATTATTAGCTTACCACATTTATGTACTTCTGCTTAATGTCCATGGAAATTCTGGATGTCCGGATGGAGCTCAAAATCACTGACAGTTCGAAAAGTTTTTGAAAAACGGAAACCGGTTCTTTTTTCGTTAATGAGTTAAAACTCACGAATATCCGCAATGGAATTCTACGAAAAATCCACTAAGACTGCGCCACTAATAGTTTCTGCCCTTCAGGGACGATTTTTAAAAAATAATTATTTACTTTACAAATGCGAGAACTTTATTACAATATTAAAATCGGACTTCACAGTACAAATATTCAAATCAGACTGAATTATAATTCATAAAATAAAATACATTACACATTGGAAAATAAAACAATAATTCATAAGTTGCACTTTTACATTTAGGTCGACCATAGTTCAGGTGCTGACGCATCGGATTTAGGGTATTGGCTTATGGGGTCAACGACTATAAATCGCGTCAATTAACAAGTAACAATTACTTGTACTTGGTCAAGTATATGACCAATTTCAAATCTATTCCATACACTACGCGGCCAGTGTCAAGTAAATACGTGGCACTAGTACTTTTCACGTAACAAGTTATACAAAACCAAGTACTTGTCAAGTGCCGTTTCGTGATTAGCATCTTTCAGTAGATCTAAACTTACGACATGAACATGAAAATTTTACTAATATAGAGAGTCCCTTAACAAAATGAACCCTCGTCAGGAAAAGAAGATTTTGGGCACACCAAATCCATAAATCAAGGGGACGTTGCGGGTTTTAAAGTGAAGCTTCTATAATGGTGTTTTAATTTTTTTCTCCATAGTAAATTTCTTAGGCGAGCGTTATGGAAGTAGCGTCACAAAATGGTAATCACAGTAAACAGTTTAAAAGGTCTATTTATGTGACGAGGAGAGTCCCTTATACACCATGTAAAGTTTTTCAATTTTATTGAAATCTAAAAAAATCTGTAAAAAATAATAATTAAATAATAAAATCACTATATTCCATTTTAAAAGTATTATTTAAATTTTACAAATATAACGAAAATATAGTATGAAGCTTCGCGCTAGTCTACAGTATCCCCCATTGTACCACTTTTGTATTTAAAAAACTTCCACTATATTTATTGTTACGAGACATGTTCTCAATAACCAAACATATGATTTACCACAATTGCTGGTATGTTTTAGTTTGTATTGTATACAAATATTTCAATTAGAATTATTGTTTTAAAAAGGTAGTATTTTATTAGTATACTTTGTAATCTCCTTTACGGACCAAGTGGCGAAATATGATTTAGTGCAAAAATAGATGTATGTATTGAAAAGTTTTCAAATATATTGCGTAAATTTATTTATTTAACGTATAAGTATATTAAAATGATAAATATATCTATTGAATATAGCTATTGTGGTGAATTAAACAAACAATGATCTATTACGAGATAATTAATGATAATTAAATTAATATAAACTATATATCCTTCAATACCTCGGTGAGATGATCGAACTTTAACTCATAGGTGCAAATAATCATAAATTATTTTTAAATGCTTGCAATAAATAATCAAAACAATATATACGTTAAGGTAAAACTAGGGGGACTTCTCATAACTTTTACACTATTTTACGAAACAACGAACAAAACAAATTTACAAACTGTTTAAAACTTAGTAGTACAAAAACAAAAAAGAGTATTTGAATGGCCATTTAAAGATAGTTTTACAATGAATAAAAAATTAACGCTAGTGAAATGATTGTGAAAAATAATAGTTTTAAATTACTTTAGTCGTCATAGATGATGTAGTCGTCAAATGCCACTAAACAAATAAGTCATACAAACAAGGTTAATTTTGGTGAGAATGTCAATTTTGGGAACCCAAAAGTATACAAAAAAGTTTACAAATCTTACACCCTTGCTTCCTCCTAAAACTCGCCCTCTTAGGGGGGAAAACGAAAAAAATCAATTTATTAAAAATCTCTAAGCGGTAAAAAATATTTCAAATAAAAAATATATTTAAGATAATTTTTAATAAAAATGTTGATTAGCACTTTTTGTTTAGAATGAACCGTTCTCTCAAAAACAACGCTTGAAGCGACCGGCGATTTTAAATATCAGTTACGCGCGCGGAATCAATTTTGAATAAAATTTGTACCAACTCGTTAAAATTCGATATATTTTAATCAGAGTGACCTATCAACAAGTATCAAAATAAGCTTTTAATGTGACGAGTGCAGCTTTCGTATACAATTTTTGGATTTTGTCGCGAATAAAGTCAGTTTCTTTAAATATGTTACATAAATAAACGTTACTTTTTGTCATTTTTGCGATTCTCATGAGATCAAAAAGTTTATTACCTTCATTGTTCAGTCGTAGTAAAATTTTCAATTATCAAAGCTCCACCCTCAAAACATATATCATGAAGAGATGAGAAGAGAAGTATTTTCCCAGCATCCCGTAAAGTTTTCTGTATAAAATTCCTAGTTGTAGTCTTTTCGTCCATATATATTTGGTCCTTGTTAATCGTTTGTCCAGATGAATGCCTAGATTTTAGTTCATCCTTTTGGAGTAAATGCTGTCCATCGAGGTTAACTAGTGAACATATACCTCTTCTTAGAGTAAATGTAATATGTGAAGATTTCGAGGTGTTTACTTTAATTCTCCAGAGTTTAAACCAGTCATTACTTTTGTTTAGATGTAGTAGCAGTGTCTCTGATGTCATGAAATTATTTATATTGTTGGATTACTATAAGATGTTAGGAAAGCAGTATCATCTGCCAATATTGCAAGCGTTAGGGTATTACTTGTCAGCCGTATATACCTATAAGATATAAGATCGGTCTGAGCACACTACCCTGAGGTACATCAGATATAATGTAGAGTTTTGTATAAGCTTTACTATACTTGACTAGATATTTTCTTTCTGTAATGTATGATTTAAGCCGTTTGAAGTAAGTGTAAGGTAAGTTTTTCTTGTGTGTCACACCTTGTCAAAAGCTTGAGAGGCATCTAAAAAGGCTGCAGTACAGAATTGCTTATTTTCGAGACTAATTCTTATTGTTGTGTATAATCTGTGAACTTCCTCTCTTGTAGCGTGTTGGTTACGAAATCCGAATTGATGATTAGGTATAAGACCCTTTTTGTCCAGTATTGGTTTGATTTTTCCTAACAAAACTTTTTTTAAAACCGTAAAAATTACTGGGAGTAGACTGATCTGTCGGTATACGTTGACATCATTTGGATCTTTACCCGGTTTTTGAATGGGTATAATCTGTGCTACTTTCCATTGTAAAGGGAAGTAATGCAGACTTATTATAGCACTGAAAATCATAGTGATTATTCTGTAGCAATCACGGATTAGTTCTTGAAGGACTTCACCCGTAATGAGGTGGTATCCTGGCACCTTATTAGGTTTTATTTAATTTTTTATTATCTGTTTTACTTCTTTAATGTTAAATTGGGTGATGGGTAGTTTCATTTGAGAAGTGAAAGTGTGAAGTGGTTCTTCTTGTTCTAGAGGCACTACTCTGGTAAATAGACTAAATACTTTAGAAAGATGTTCTGCGAATGTCTTGTACTTCTCTGTATATGCACTTTATCATTTAACTTTAACATTTTTTAAAGAAGGCATGGCTTTAATAAAGTATTTTGCACTCATTGTATGCATTGCCAACCATTCAAGGTTGACAATCGTAGTGAAATATTTTGAGACGAAATCAGTTTGTTGGGTTGTGATTTCAGTCGTTTGACTATTTCCTGAAGTTTTTTGAGCGCAAGGAACACAAGGAATTACTATTTGATTGCTAGTTTCCTTGGTACCTGTTCTATGGGCCTCTGACCTTTATGGACCACTTGAAATGTTCTTTTTTTTTTTGTTTGGTAGGTATATTAGTAGGAGTTTTTCTCATTAAGTGCTTTTTTATATTTCGGTAATGTTCAGAGGTTGTCGGCTGGATTTTTACTTGATCATTATAAAGACATTTGATGGAGTATCCCAGTGGAGATATTACAACAAATGTCTAAGAGGTCGTACATCACTTACATCTGTAACAAATGTGGGTAAGTTTGACTATTTCCTGAAGTTTTTTGAGGGTAAGAAATACCGGGTATTACTGTTTGATTGACAGTTTCCTTGGTGCCTGTTCTATGGGCCTCTGGATTCTTTCCAAGTTGGGGGAATGTTTTTTTTTGTATTTGTTTGTATACGCTGCAGAACTTACAGTTGGCGGGATGGTTTCCCATACAAAGTATACACTGTACGCTATTGCTGCGTTCTTTGCGCCTGGAGAATTTAAAGTATGGTGATTACTTGCACACTTTACCCATCTTGTAGGCACGTGGCAGAATTTTCTTGTGTGACCATAGCGTTGACAATTGGTAAATTGGGATACCTGATCCTTGAGATGTGGTTCAAAGAATACAATCATATTGTGGAGTACTCTTACTTGATATATATATATATATATATATATATATATATATATATATATATATATATATATATATATATATATATATATATGTATATATAATTATTATTCGATTTGTTTTTTAACAGAAAGTTCTAGAGAACAAAGTGGAAGCGCTGTTTTGTATCCATTCTTATATATATATATATATATATATATATATATATATATATATATATATATATATATATATATATATATTTAACGTGATTATTTCGACCAAAAAACAATTTATCAGTATGTTGGAAATATCGGGTATGTGGTCTATATTAAATAAAAATCTTTGTTTTTTCTAAAACTCAATATTTCGCTATTTATTTAACAGCTTCATCAGGAGTAACTGTAAAAAACAAACATTTCAAAAAACTGACGTACACTTAGATTTACAATACTTACAGAACTTAAAAGTTTTCACACATAAATAAACTTGATATTAAAATAAACATTTTTGATAATTTATATGCGTGTTAAAATGTAAATATATATGAGCACGTTCGTTAACAATAAATGAGATGGAAACAACTAAAAGTTATTTAAAATGCAAAAACTAACAATGTAAGAAAACATTGGAGGAATACTATTTCTTTAATTAATCATTAAGGCTAGTTAGTATGATTAATCATTAAGGTGAGTGAGTTTAAAATTTTGTTCAATATATGGCAATATATGTTGCTTAATTGCCCCGTGTCTGTTTTATAATTTAAAGTTTGTTTATTTTTGTTGATGTGGTACATCTCCAAAAATAACCTACTTTTGTAATTGTCAGTCTGTGCCAGAATACGAGCATTGTTATAGTCTAACAGATGACCGGTGTTTTTATAATGCTCGACTACTGCACAACTATTTTTTCCCAAGCGGCAATCACTTTTGTGCTGTGTGATACGTTGTTTTAGCCACTGCGATGTATGGCCAATGTAGCTTTTTTCACATTCTAGACACGGTATTTCATATACCACATTACTTCTATATAAGGTTGGTACTGGATCTTTAAATTTGGAAAACTGCTATTTATGGTATTGTATTTAGCTATATTAATATTGGAAACATCTTTAAATATGGATATGACTGAATGAATTAGACCATTGATAAAGGGGAGTTTTTTTATATTTGATTGACTCATTGTTGGAATCAAGGACAGGACCATCATAGAAATTACTGCTGTAAATGAGTTTTTTAAAATATGTTTAGGATAGCCGTTGTTTCGAAAAATTTTGTATAATATGTCCAGATTTTTCTGTAATAAATTATCATCAACAATGGACATTACCCTATTTTTCATACCCAATATTGTATTATATTTTTGACGAGTGGTGTGGTTTGAAAAGTAATTCATATACCTTCCCGATGCAGTTGGCTTTTGGTACCAATTCAATGTAATATTGTCATTTGTTCTTATTACCTTTGTGTCTAAAAATGGTATACTAAGATCTGTCTCTGTTTCAATTGTGAACTGAAGATGATATTGATGTGATAAGATGGAACTGCACATATGATGTCATCGACATATTTATATATAAATGGTAATTCGAAAGGTAATTGCGTGATCACATTGTCTAAGAGATGATCAGTTACAATAGTAGCAAGGATGGTACTAATCGGGGAACCCATAGGTGTTCCAAAAATTTGGGAGTAAAATTTTCCATTGAAACTGAAATAAGTATTATTAAAAATGAAACTGAGAATTAGTAGAAAATTACCTTTCGATAATGTCGTGTAGTCTTTTATAAGGTTCCAATTTGATTCTATAATGTTCGTGACCATAGTTAGTGGAATGTTTGTAAATAAAGAAACCACATCCACAGAATCCACATCCACATCAAGTTTATTTATGTGTGAAAACTTTTAAGTTCTGTAATTGTAAATCCTGTATTGTAAATTCTGTATTGTAAATCTAAGTGTACGTCAGTTTTTTGAAATGTTTGTTTTTTACAGTTCCTCCCGATGAAGCTGTTAAATAAATAGCGAAATATTGAGTTTTAGAAAAAACAAAGATTTTTATTTAATATAGACCATATACCCGATATTTCCAACATACTGGTATATATATATATATATATATATATATATATATATATATATATATAAATATATATATATATATATATATATATATTTATATATATATATATATATATATATATATATATATATATAAATATATATATATATATATATATTGTTATGATGTGTTGTTGTTGTATGAGCAATGAGTAAATTTGAATAATATATGTAAGTATAGGGTTTTTATCGCGGTTCTCAAAGAATTAGTTTGTAAGTACTTTTTTAAATTATCTTTATTATAAATATTATGAAACAAACCTATCTATCTAATATAAGCAATATCAATTTAAAACAATCTATCTAAAATTTGAAATTCTTACAATTATTAAAATATTAACAAAATTTGGTACTTTCTTCCACTGAACGCCTAAAGTTTTTCCAAAATTAAAGTTATTATCACCACTCGATATCTTCTTACTAAGCCTTGGTTATCCAACTATGTTAATATGTTCCTTATTAATTATCTCCACTCACAATATAAATATATATTTAACTCCTTGCAATTTCCATAAACTTAATGTGCTTTGAAATATACTGGATCTTGTGGTTGTATTCTTCTTCTTCTTCTTCAAGTGCCGTCTTCGTTCCGAAGTTTAGCTATCATCAAAGCTATGCGTATTTTTGATGCTGCAGATCTAAACAGTTGGTAATTGGTGCAATTGTACCATTCTCTCAAGTTCTTCAACCATGAATGCCTTCTTCTTCCTATAGATCTCTTTCCCATTATCTTTCCCTGTATAATCAATTGCAGCAACTGGTATTTATCTCCCCTCATAACATGTCCCAAATATTGTAGTTTGCGCTTTTTAACACAGTAAGTGGTTGTATTATTGAATGCTTATTTCAATGAATTAACTTCAAAACTGTCACTATATTACTGTAGTAATAATTAATTTCCAACTGTATTTAACTTAATAATTCATTTAACTTAATCAATGCCTTCTTCTAGCATTGAATAATCTCTTCATAACCTCATAAATAACTGACTTAATAATCCTTAAATTGTTATAACTAACTCCTCAATAATAATCTTGTAACTGATTTAATATCCTCTAACTAACTCACTTAACTCAATTAATAATCTTCTTGTAACTACTGAACTTAACTGAACTAAACTGCTAACTCAAACTGACTAACTGCTCCAAATTACATGGCTTTTTATATGTTTTTCATTGTTTCCAGAACATTCCAGCAATAAATCATGTTCGAATCCTTCTATTTGTTCTTTACTTAACTGAACTAAACTGCTAACTCAAACTGACTAACTGCTCCAAATTACATGGCTTTTTATATGTTTTTCATTGTTTCCAGAACATTCCAGCAATAAATCATGTTCGAATCCTTCTATTTGTTCTTTATGAACAATCTGGAATGATTTTCTGCCTGTGATGTATTATGTAGATAGTCCCATTGACATTTCTAGAGTTTTCTATCTATACTTTACTTGACTTTAGGCTCTCCAGATCAGAACTACACTATTATATGTAACTTAAACATTTATATTAAATATATTTTTACTATTTTACATCCACAATTATATTCTAAATTAACATTCCAAAAATTTATAACTTTTTGACTTTGACACTACAGTGTATGTTTGGTTGCATATGCTAACTCAAAATATCTAATATTAAATAAAATAAAAAAAACTTCTTACATTTAATTCTTATGCTAAATTCTTAAAAATACCCTCGTATAGTTATTTTTTAATAATAATATCTAATATATAACTTACAAATTATGTCTTTATCCACTATTTAAATAAATCCACTAATCAACACTGTATATCTGGTTGTATATATTTCTAAGTTAATTTATTGTATTTCTGTTGTTTTCATTATAATATATATATATATTATATATATATATATATATATATATATATATGTATATATATATATATATATATATATATATATATTGTTCTAAAGCTATTTTCTTGTGGCATTTTAAATTAATTACTATTTAACTGGGAATAAGCCACAATTAAAGATAAAAATACATTTATTGACGTTTCAATTTCCACTTCGGAAATCGTTCTCCTTTCGAGAACGATTTTTCGAACGATTTCGGAAAAGATCAATGTGGTTTACAACATCCCCTGTATGAATTATAACCTATGTTACATTGGCCAGACTCGTAGATCCCTTAAAGGTCAACTAATTTCTCACAAGAGTGATATTAGATGCCATAAACATTCCTGTGCCTTAGCACAACACATTCTTACGTCTCACCACCGACCCGATTATGAACATGTCAAAATTCTTTGCACAGAAAGTAACCATTTCAAGAGAAGCTTCCTTGAAATGTACCACATTTTCCTCAATCCTACCACCATGAATAAAAGTACTGACATCGACAACCTCAGTTTAGTGTACCATTCTCTTCTCTCCAATATAAAATGAGAAATTCTTCGACGTTCTTTTTGTCATCCAGACATTTTCATTGCCGTTTCCTTGATTATTTATTACCACATCCCAGCTACCTATCAACCTTCTCTTTATTTCCCATTAGTACTTACTCTTACTTTCAACCTTTTACATCACATACTGATTCATACCTAATTTACATAAACCCTCACTTATTTGACAATTCATATTTTCCCTCCTTGACTAATCGCCATTATAAATGCTAAATTCCAACCTGTCTTTCACTTCATATTGGTTTTGTAGACATTTCCACTTAACAATTCCGTTTACTTCAGTGTCCTCTGCGTTGTAGGTTTTGCGTTGCTTGTGTATTGCGCCTGCTTGTCTCATTCTCCCCCTATTGTTTAACACCTTTTATACTTCACTTACCATTCGTAAGTTATTTTTTCCATGTTTTTGTATATTATTGCCTACCACCATAGTAATATTTTTAAGATTGAACTGATGAAGCTTGTGAACTCCACAAGC